CAGAACACAGCTAATTAAACAGGCAGCTATTTTATAACGTAATTGCTTCATCCTACTTCATCTATCATTGTCCAAATAGCTCAGTTCTTAAACCGTATGGGATCCAGTTTTGTACAACGCTATTCTTTAGTCGTTCATACATATTGAGCTAATGGGACTATTTGCAGAACTAGAAACTATTCAATGCTTGGAGAGCTATCTCTTCATGCAGTGATCATATTTTCCCCCTATTCTTTTTATCATACGAACATTTCTAATAGATATTTGCTTTTAGTTATAAAATTTATCCACTTCAAGGATTATAAAAAATCTGTCTATAATACCAGTTAACAGTTATATTTCCAAAACGACTTGACAAAAATTTCTCTGGAATGACTCCTGGTCACATCTGAAGTTTATCAATTTTGTGACAGTCCCCCAAAACAGAACGCAAGTTGCCATTGACAGAGAAAGCTCTAGCATGTTTCTGTAAATTTTATATACCTTTTTCATTAGGCTATTGAGGGCTATTCAAAGTGGCTAACATTATTATCATTCCAGTTATAGAAAGAAACTTAATGGTTCATTCCTTTTTTCAATCTGATTCTGTATTGTCATTGTAACCCCTCCTCAGTCCTTCTATAAAAATAATATGTATATAGAAGACATTTCTTATAGTAGTATTTTTTTCAGAGATCTACCACTTCTTTATGTAATCCCCTACTGGGAATAAAGTTAGTTTGAACTGCCTACAGTTTTCATCACTTTGTAAATGTCAGATTTATAAAGTGTATACAGAGTTTTATACAGAGATGTGAAAGATTTAAGTTGTGTTATATAACAATTCTTGCATATTTCAATCTTTTTCTTTCCTACTTAAAAATTCTATATATTTCCATCTTTCTATTTTTTCTGTTTCTCCTTTCATCTTTAGACATCACTTTGACTTGCTGAATTCAATAACTGAATATATGCACCATTTTGCGGGATCCATATCTTAATTAAATTTAATAGAATCATAGGGTAATTCAGGTTGGAAGGGATCTCAGGAGGTCTCTAGTCCAACTCCTGCTCAAAGCAGGGTCAGCTATGCGATCAGATCAGGTTACTCAGGGCTTTACCTGACTGCATCTTAAAAGCCTCCCAGGATGCACAGCCTTTCTGGGCAACCTAATGCAATGTTTTACCGTTTTCATGGTGAAAAAGCTTTTCCTTATATCAGTCAGAACCTCTCCTGTTTCAGTGGTTCAGTACTTGATAACAATGTGCACTCTGCAAGTGTCCAAAATGCATAGTTTGTAACTTTTTGGCCATGCCGTATTGAAAATGTATATTTGCATTTCATCTTATATATACGTATTTAGCATAGTCCCAGCCCACCAATGAAATCTGTGTACGGAGTTTCTACTGTGATCGCTCACTTCAAAAGCTTCTACACGAATTTAATAACATACTCAGATATATATTTGGAACCAGTACATCATAAGCATGTACTGCAGAGTCCAAGATGAAAAACTGCAATAAAAGTAAGATCTTTTATTTCTTGCGGAAATGATTATTTTAATCATAGTGAGATTTAATTTAATTGAGTTAATTCTGTAATTGCAAAGCTGCCTGGAGACTTGAAAAACTGTCTTTATTAGTTGAAATAAATTTAGATGTATTACTGAATTTCGTGCTGGAAAACTAGGCAAGTAGTACATTATTTTGACAAAGAAATCCTAAATAAAACATTGAACTGTATCAAGACTGTATATAACCTTTTTAGTTGCTAATACTGCACAGTAATGCAAATGGAATAGACTTTTTTTTAAAAATTGTTCCTCAAATACTCTATCTGTATAAACTTGAGTACAGGCAAGGGTGACATGAAATATATTTTCCATCATTTTTTCTTGAAGTATTTATTACTGTAAAGTGTGATCATTCACACATTTACAGAAACAAGACTTTACTTTCACAGAAGGATGGGGCATCCACTTCTCAGCGGAATTTGAAAGCAAATAAAAATAATTTACTTTTGGTACTTATTTTCTAAATATTTCTTTATCTATTGTATACTTTATAATTTGCTGTTAATTTACTGTTAATTGTATAGGCATTTTTTACAGTGAAACAGAACATAACTCCAATGTGAAGGCACTGTAAATGGTTGGTGCAATGTATAACCTGTAAAATAATGAGCTTAATGGATTCAAATTACTCACTGAACTAGCCAGAGAGAGAAGCGAAGGGACTGGGAGGAGGGAAGGAAACAATACCATAAAACTGTCTGCTGTACCTTTTGTACTGAAAAGGCCTTGGAAGAGTGAGCAAAAATTTTCAGATGGTAATATTCTAGATGTTTGTTTTTCTTTGAGGAATTTGTTTTTTCCTGTTGATATTTTTATATCACTCTGAGTTAAGGTGTTTCAGATAGCACTTTCTGTTGTTGTTGTTATTTCAGACAAATACATCCTTACTCTTAATGTGGTTTTATTTGAAAATAGAAAAAATAGTATTGGATACCTTGCCTTGGTGTCATTTCAAAATACAAACTCAAATATAGCAAATGCCTTAAGAAATACATATTTAAATATAAAATACTCTCTGATGCAAGAATGCTGTTCCTTTATAAATTTTTAGTTCATGCCATGCTCAAGTACCTGAAATAAGGCCCTAAACATAGCATGGTACAGAGTTTAACAGTCCTGGATCTACAGGAAAAAGAAAGAGGAATTGACTTCTAAAGTTAAGACCTGCTTGCAAACCCGCTCTCCTCTTTGTCATGACATTTAGAAGCCCACTTCATCCCCCAAAACAGTCACTGTCTTAAAGAACAAAATCTGAGTCTTATTTTAGAAAAGGACTTTATTCTAAGTAGTCAATACTAGTTAAATTTTAAAATTACAAAAAAAACACCACACTGTTTCATGTTTCTACTGAAATGCCAGTAGATTAGGAATTACTTACTTTTGTAATAATGCCATTTGCAGGAGGGTGAGTTATAATGAAAAATTGCGAAAATTTGTTGTAAACACTAGTCTCGTTATCAGGATCACGTAGAAAAAAGCGCTTTTTTATGCTACACAGCATCAGCGAATGTTTTATTTTTCCCTTTGTCGTCCATCTCCATCCTCTAATAAATATGAGGAAGGAAGGTAGAAAACTCTTCTGTTTTTCCTCTCATGTTCTGGGCCTTCAAATTGGTTTTGCCCTGGGCAAAACTTTCTCCTACTTAGTATCTGTCTAACCATCTGTGCTACCAAAATACCAAAGAATAAAGTGCAGCTGGGGTCAAGAAAGTAAAACACAATCACCTACCTGGCTCTAAGTTCCTTATGTCTCCTTATGTCCTATCTACATATGTTTTCATGCCACCATTGCACATCTAATGCAATTTGTTTCAAGGGCTAATATTCTATTCTCATTCACGTAATTGTTAGCCAAGTTTTAGTTGTTGGGCCTTTCATTACTGATGCAATAAGATATAAGTCAGTCAGAAGGACTATAACTTGATTAAAAAATTTTAGGATATTGTCTGTAACTCTGGAAGTTACAAAAACATTGCCTTTAAACTTTTAGCACAGCCAATCTGAAGTTGCATTTACAAGCAAATAAAGTAGTCCATGATGTTATATAGTTTCAATTTCCTGTCACTATAGATTAACATATCAGGTTAAGGATAGCTGTTATGATCTCTCTGATCAGAAAATTTCAGCAGTGCTCAAGAGAAGCCCCATTTTTTTCATTTATATACCAAATTAATAGTTTGCACATTGGTAATGTCCAAACTGCACCAAGGAGGTTTTAAAGTGGGTGCAGCCTCTACAAAGCTACTTTGCTTTTGCTGGCATAGCCTCCAAACTCCACAGGAAAGAAATTTTTCCTGGTAAAATGGGTATGTTTTACTGACAGTAAGTGAATTAGAGGCTTTTGCTGGCTCAGCTATATCAAGGAGGATTCACACCTCAAACCTATAGTTTTGTGGGTAAATGGCTGCAGAACAGACATAGACTTCACTGCTTTCTTAAGGTTATCTAGAATTTAATCATTTTTATTTCACTTCTAATGAAATGTTTGAGGAGGTTGGTTAAAATAGGAATTTAAATGTCTGCTTTTAGCATAGCATTAGCAAACATTGATTGTCTTATGAAAAGAGAATTATGAGTGATTTATTGAAAACAGAAATCAGACTGCTAATATTTGGGGGTTAAAATAATGTAATATAATTTCATTTCCACTTACTTATTTAATGTCACATGGAAGTAGACCCTGATATACACTAAAGTAATTAGCAGCAAAGCAGTGATCACGTTTGTATTACCAGGTGTGAGACATTGTTAATTAACTGAAACAACTCTGAAATGATGCCTAGATAAGTGCTTTTTTACTGGACTTATTTTCAATATTCAGAGAATGCTGCAATTGTTTGTTTAAACATGAATTGTGTAAAATATTTATATTTATATTTAAAAGGACATTGGCAGCTTATCTGGGCTTTAAAATTGTACTTCCTTTAAAGGGGTATTTTGTTGCAGTGGTATTTCCATAAATAAGCTGTACTAATATACATATTATTGTATCATTGTAACTCATGGACTGTAAACACTGTAAAGCAGTGTATGTTCACTTTATCTATGATGATTTCTATATAGATAGTTACTGTGGAACAGAAGCCTTATGTATATCAGTTCGAGATGTCTCTTGAGATGAATTGTTGTTGCTACTGCTTACAGTTGCCTGCAGATACTTAACTGAAAGAAATAATTCAGATTAAACTATTTCTCTCTGGTCTGAAATTCAGTTGAGATTTATTGATAGATAAAGTGGTAGAAATCACCTTTATCACCCATATTCCTGGGAAAATTATGAGTATGCATATAATCACTGAATTATTTATAGAATCCAGCTCAGCCATTTCCAAAGCACTAGTACCAGAATCTTTTGCTGCTTGGAAAATATTCAGGACTATGAGCTAAATGGGGCTGTACATGGGCTATGCCTTTCTTTTCTTTCCTGTATCTTGAGAAGGAAGCATGGAGAAGGAAGCATGGAGAAGGAAATCCTTATCTTTCCAGTGGAAAGGAAGGGGCAAAAAGAGACTCCAAATGACTAATTTTTTTTAATCACTTGCCGTTTGAACATGTGACTTGAGAATTTATCAAAAAATTAAATACACCTCCTACAGAAGATGTTCCTCTCCCCTGATATGAAGAACAGAAAATAAAACGGTAAGGTTCTCTTCATTTCTTTTATGAACTATCTGTATAGTGCTAGAACTCTTGTCAGTGGCTCAAAGCGTTTTCCTCTCTGCCACAGATTTTTTTTCCCAAATCATAGGGTCATAGGAAAATTTCAGATCAGAAGGCGCTCGGGAGGACATCTAGTCCAGCTTCTTGCTCAAAACAAGGTCAAATCTACCCACTTGTGTCTTGAAAACCTCTCAAGGTGGGGACTGCATAATTCTGCTCCACAAATTCCTGCATTTGATTATCCCAATAGTGAAAAAGTTAGTCCTTATATCCGGGTAAAATTGCTTGTCTTTCCATTTATGCCCATCATCTCTCATCCTCCCATGGTGCACCACTGCAAAGAGACTTGGCTCAGTGGTCTCAATGACCCCCTTGAAGGCTTTGGAGGGCTGCTATTAGGCCCCCCAGGTCTTCCCTTCTCCAGGCTGAACAAGCCCAAAGGGCATGTGCTCCAGCCCCTGACCATCTTGGTAGCCCTCTGCTGAGCTCACTGCAGTTTATCGAAGTCTGTCTTGTACTAGGGCTGGGGGGCAAATCTGGGTGCAGCGCTCCCAGATCTAGCACATCTAGAGATGTGGTCTAACAAATGCTGAGTAGGAGGCGGATAAACATTTCCCTCAATGTACTGGCTGTGCTCTGGTTCCCACAGCCTCAGTTACTCTTGGCCTTCGCTGCTGCCAGGGCATGCTGCTGACTCAGGTTCAGCCTGCTGCCAACCAGGACCCCCAGGTCCTTTTCAGCAGAGCTGCTCCCCAGCCAGTCAGTCCCCAGCTTGTATTGGTGCAAGAGGGGGTCATCCTTCCCAAGTGCAAGGACTGTGCATTTGATCCTTATTGAATTTCATAAGGTTCCTGTTGGCCCATTCCTCCTGCCTGTTTAGGTCCCTCTGAATGGCAGCCCTGCCCTTAAGCATATCAACTGATTCCCCCCAGTCTGGTGCCATTGAAAACTTGATGAGAGTGCACTTGGTCACCTCCTCCATGTCATTGATAAATACATTAAAAAGGACAGATCCAAGTATAGACCCCTGTGGTACTCCATTTGTTGCAGGCGTCCAAGGAGAGTACAACGCATTAACCACTACTCCATAAGCCCGATCATCCAAACAGTTTTTAACTCATGTATACGTCCACCCATCCAGACTGCAACATCCTAAGCTGGGCACAAAAACATTGTGGGAGGCAGTGTCAAAAGCCTTGCTAAAGTCAAGGTAAATTACATCCGCTGCCCTCCTCTCATCCACAAATCCAGCTGCCATCCTTTATAGTAGAGAGTTATATTTAGACTAATAAGCTATATTGCAAGAACTTACATTGCAAAGTCAAGCACTCAGAAGGTAGTAAATGTTAAATTTATGGCTGTCTGTGCAATCTTAATTTGATCATTTGCATGTATGCATTATTAACTCTAAATACATAATCTCATACTATTTTTTTGACAAAACTCCTGACTCATTTAGTGCATGGGTTGAAAATACAAAGTAGACCTTAATTTCAGAGCTACTGGAAACCTTTCTTATGAATTTTAAACCAAACTTCATATGCATAACTTCTCATAGGCTATCCCGTACTGTATCTTCCACTGACATTAGTGAAGTATAGTTCTCCAGAATCTCAAAATCAGATCTGCCAATATCACTGGCCAACTCTGGTAAGAAAAGAGTGTTTTCCCTCTCTCCATCTCTCTCTCTCTCTGTCTGTCTTTGCCTTTCTATGATGTGCATAGGTATATTTTTTATAATTATACATTCTTACAGTGAAAATGCCTTCCCACAAAGCAAAACCTTGAAACCTCTATTTACATCAAGGCCATTCTCAGTCAAAATTCACTGGAGTAAACACATTACATATTAATTTACAATTAACTGACAAATCAGTACATAAGTTGTGAACTCTTATATGAAACTTTTTTTCCTGCTTGTGTTGCTGTGTCCATGTTCCAGCAGATAAGTGTCTTGACCTTGTCAATGTAATACAGTTTACTTGGGTGTTCATAGTTAATCTATTATTGGGACATCATTCTATTCATTTGATAAAATCATCAATTCCCTGAATAATGTAAAATGTGATTCAATAGAATCTAAGCTGTTAATAAATAAATAAAATAAGAATAAAATGTCAATAAAATAGAAGCTGTTAAGCTCACAATGAGTAATTAATCATCTGAATTAAAAGTTGAACTTCATAGAGTGTCCTAAACATCTTCAGGTCCAGGGCTTGCAGGTCACGTGGAAGAAAAAGGTCATTTATTAGAGATCTAATTTTATTCTCCTGCTAGGCTTCAAAAAATGAATTCCAACCTAAGAAAGCGACAACTTCATAAGTCATTGCACAGCACACTTCTAAAACCATGGCTAACACATTCAATTGTATCTGAAATTATTTCAGTAATAAGCATAATCACCGCTCATTCAATTCCATAGGCTTTTTGTACGTGTGGGGTGCTCTAGGAAAATGTTAGTGGCAGATAAAAGGAAATGAGTGCTGGGAACTAGTCTTCAAATTGTAGTGTTTCCTACAGGTGTAATATAATAACTATGTAAATATGACATAAGGAAATAAAAAAGGGCATCTTCATTATGAAAATATTGAGGTTGAACATTTTATAGCACTGACAAAAAAAGCATCCCTAAAAATATTATATCCTCAGGATTGCTGCACTGCATTTCTTCCTATAGAGCATTACAGTTTGGGGGTTTTGAAGTTTGACGTGCTTCCTTAAAGCTATTATTTTGCAAAGTACCTGAATGTCAATTTATTGCAGGAAAGAAAATAGCTAGAAGGGAAAAATTAAGATACTGTTTTTGCAGTTCTTGGTTGGTTGGTCTGACCTCCATAGTTTATTTTTGTAAGGGCATTACAGTAAGATCCCACGTATGGATGATATTAACCTTTACCGTATCTTTTCTCAAAAGTAAATTCCTTCACTCTCACATGGGAGAGCTGTGTGAGTAAATCCAATAAATACAAATGGAATGCTGAAATTTACACTATATCAGTGAAGAATATGTCCAAAATGTCTAGAAACTGTTATTAAAAGATATACATGTGATAGAATTACTTTAGGCTTTAACTGTTATACTAATCAAGACCTCTGAGATCTCTGTTACATTGAAATTCCGCCCTCATAGTCACACGTATGTCTACTGCAAATACTAGAGAGAGATAAGAATGTGTAGAAGAGATTATATTTCATCCAGTTGTAATTATGTAACTGAAGAATATTTTTTTAAGTGTCTAATGAAAAATTTTGCTAAGAAAAAAACCCCAGCAACAAGGGCTTTCCTTGGCTGAAAATAATTCCCACAACTTGAAAAGGCTCAATCTGGTACATAACAAACAGCAAACTTCCATATGAATAAATCTCAAATTTAGAACCTGTTATGATAGCCAAAGTCCAAGTGAATTTGATGATTTTTTATTTTGTTTAAATTGTCTATCACAGTCTTGCTGGGTCTTTTTTTCTGTAAATTAGAGAAGCATTAGGTAGCATATTAATAATCACGGTTATATGTCTATTTCATTGCAAGTAAGTATGGACTAATTGTTCATAGTAATGAAGTAGTACAGGTAGATTTGTGAATGCCTTGTACTGAAATTATAGCTTTACATTAAAAATTGTTTAGAATTCACACTGCTGATGCACAAAGTCAATTTGGCACCAAAGACAAGAAGAGATTGGACTCCATGTCAAAGAAATTTGATTATACGAAACAAAGAAGTCTCTCAGCTTCCTGGCCCAGGCTAGCAGTTGTACCTGAAAGACTGGAAAAATTGATCACTATTTGGTGAGACAATCTGCAATATTCCATTCACTTCCATACAGTTTTATGCCTTCACTGCAAAGCACCATGGTAAAATTGGTTGGAACGTTAATTGTAAGACCAGTCTTCAAGTAGTTGCTTTATCAAATTGGATAGAAACCAATCTTTATTAAGTTTTGATACTGTTGGCCAATTTGAAATGGCTTGAGTGATTATGATTCAGAATATCTGGCAGTTAATTGGACCTATGACTCTAATGTGTTTTGAAATCAGCTTATCTGATTTCTTGCATAAAATCCAGATTTGGGGTGCAGTTTCAATAGTGTATGCTAGATCTCATTAGTAAGATAGCCATGATGAAAGCTGTAGGAGCCAAGGATATCAGTGAGCATATGAAATTAAAACTAGGATAGATTTTTAAAGGATTTTATTGATTTAAGTCTCCACATTTTATTGATAGGACAGTTTGTGCTTTATTGATTTTAGGTTAGCTTCAGATTTCTACATGATCAATCACTTCTGAAAAGAGGGAATAAACTGGTAGGTGATATTCCTGAAAAAGTTAACCCTCCTGATTTGCTGTTGCATAAAGCCTCCTCTTCTTCAAGATTACAATTCTTCAGCAGAGGAAGTATGTCAGGCTTACCCTCTGAAGTCATTGAGCTAATATGTTTCAATATTAGTAAGTGAGATAAACAAAGTAATATTTTTTGAAGTATGATAATAATGAAAAGGCATCCTGCAGCCTTTCCAGGCCCTATCACAATCTAATGATCACTTCCTACACTAATTCATTCAATTAAATTACTACTTTTTGCTGTTCATACTGAATAAGTAAGTCACTATTAATGTAATCTAATAAAAACTTTATTCTTACCTTAGAAAAATATAGCTAATTTCCACTCCGGCCTTTACAGCCCCTCACCTGCAGAACAAATTTTTTTTTCATTGAAGATAGCTATTAAAAAGGAAAAGCCTTCTACAATCTGTAAAATGTTTGAATTTAAGCACTATCAGAAACAAAACTCATTTATCAAATGGCACAGCTGTTCATTATATGCTTATAATGATCCTTGTTATCTGGGTGCTGTTTGGTATTTATAGCTAATTAACTCTCTTCTATACCACCTAGCAATCTTTGTTTAGAGAACAGAGAAAAATGAACTATGTTGAATTAGAAGCTGCTAAATGCATAGAACAAATTTAGTCAATTTACTGCAGACCAATTGTTACCAAAACACTGAAAGATATTTTCCTTTTTTTTTTTTTTAACTATGTCTTTGATTTTGTAATTTTACATAGAAGGCTGAGTATAAAGACTTTTGCAAGTTATATAGGCTCCAAAGTTGAATATCTTCTTCTCATTTTCCCTTTATTAACTTTGCAGAACTGGACTATTATCAAGGTAAGATTAAGCAGATGTTTCTATTGCTAATGCTGAAGTGTTAAAATATATGTAATATTTTATAGCAGGTTGAAAAAAATTTTCACTTGCTTATTAAATAAAATATAATACTTGGTGTGAGCAGTAAGTACAAAAGCTGTATACCTAGTCTTCTGAGGTGATGAAGCCTATTTCCCTGTATGCTTCTGGTCACTTAAAATAAAGGAAACATACTGCAAAGGGGAAAACTCTTTCTTCACTTTGAAGTGAGTCATTTCAAACTTAGTTTCAAAACTGGAGACTTGTGGCATTATCAGTAAGTGTAATATTATGGATCCTGATAGCTTATGAAACTGTCCTTCAATACGGATGGAAATAATTCAGAAATCACTTGTTAATGACTTGTTCGTAGAACACAGATTCCTAGTTAAACTCCAATATGCTGCATATGCCTTCCCACTACAAGTTTGGGGATTTAGTTCTTATAGCATCATAGCTTATAAAATGTTAGACTCTATGTTGATGATCTTGTAGTGTAGATGTCCTCTTACTTCTCTGTTGACATCACTCACTAGCTATTTTGGTGACATTGCCAATTACAGGAAATGAAGAGTACTCGTTAGAAAGTGTTATATTTACTAATTACTTCCTAATACAAAAAAAAAAAAAAGGGAAGTTGGGTGTTTGAGCATTTTTAAAACAAAAGGGGCTTTTTTCCACTCTTCCTTCCAGTGAACTTTTGATTTTTTTTTAACCAAATTAATTATTTTTGTTTGATGTTTTCCCAAATGTTTAGTTCCAATTTTTTTTTATAATGTAAATATTTTTCTATGATATAGTTATTTTGGGCTGAAGAATTTCCTGCTTCTTTTTATTCTTAGGATCTCACTAACTGCATGGTTTTAGAAAAGTCACTTCAGGGTAGATGTTCAACAGTAATTACATGTACTTTAAACAGTTTATTCTTAGACACACGGTGCTACAGTTTTCCCATTTATAAAACTTCTGTGGTAAACTGTCTTCTTACAGTTATTACAGAATTTTATTGTTTTTAAAATGTTTATTGATCTTTAAATGAGTCATTTTTACAGATAACAGATGTAAAGGACAGGAGGCTTTGTTACTCATTTGGTTTATCTGCTGTAAACCTCTTCTCAAAAATTATTTTTGAAGCACTCATATACAATTATTTTTGCTGTAATTTCTCTGAGCAGAGGAGGTAGGCATGGGAAAGAAAAAAGGAAGAGGGAGACGTCTTCTGTTACTGACTCCCTTCAAGATTTTCTGCCTGTTGCTGTCCTCCTTGTAAAGGTTATGCACTAATGGTCACAGGCTATGAATCTAGTGGTAAGACTGAGTAATGAATTTACCTCACCAGTCTGATGAGACTGCATTGTGTCTGATTGTTGGGCTACTCATCACCCTCGTGTAGAATGGGACAGTTCATACGTCTCGGATTCCACCTCTGTCCTGTCAGACTTCCCAGTTGCCCTGGGCTGGTGC